AAAAAAAAGAATAAACTTTTTTTTTTTAAAAAAAGGAGAAGCCCTTGAACCCAGGAGGCAGAGGGTGCAGTGAACCAAGATGGCGCCACTGCACTCCAGCCTGAGCGACACAGCGAGACTCCTTCTCAGAAAAAATAAAATAAAAAACTTTCTGACTGTTCTGTAATAATACTTAGATTGAAACACAAACACATTTTACAGGGGTAGAAATACACTTGTCTATCCTTATTCTGTAAGCTTTTTTCTGTTTTTAAAATTGTTAATTTTTTAAAAATTTTACTTTTTAAACTTTGTTAAAAACTAAGACACAAACACACACATTAGTCTAGGCCTTTACTGGGTCAGGAACATCAATATCACTTTCATCTCCACATCTTGTCCCACTGAAAGGCCTTCAGGGGCAATAACACATGTGGAGCTGTCATCTCCTGTGATGACAATGCCTTCTTCTGGAATACTTCCTGAAGGACCTGCCTGAGACGCTGTTGTAACTTAACTTTTTTTTTTTTTAATAAGCAGAAGCTGTACACTCTAAAATACCGACAAAAAGTGTAGTAAATACATAAATCAGTAACATGGTCATTTATTCTCATCTAGTATTAAGAACTACACATAATATATGTGCTATACTTTTATATGACAGTGGAGTGGGTTTGTTTACACCAGCATCACCCCAAACACAAGTAGTGTGTTACATTTAAACGACCATTAGGATGGCTACAAAGTCACTAGGTAATAGGAATTTTTTAGCTCTTCTATAATCTTATGGGACAACTGTCATTTCTATAGTTCCTTGTTGACTGAAACATTATGATGCAATGACTGGATATCAAATATAGTAAGAATCAACTTGTGATCTAATGTCTTGAATTTGATAAGGAGCCAAGAGAATTACCTATTTTTGGTCCCAGTAGTCTAAAACAATAATACATGTTTGTTTAACTGTGCTCTGAGTCACAGCATAACTAAAATTATTAGCATATGTAAGCATGTTTGAATTATAAGCTAAAGGTAATTTGTCATATTTTATTCACTTATTCATAGAATCATATGTCTTTCTAAAATTTAGATTTAGTTTTAAAACTATTCTCATGACTTCAGTCATTATTTCTGTGTATATAACTTCCAAATCAATACCTGCAGACCTGATCTCTATTGTTCTTGCCCATTTCTATTCCACTAAACCAGTGCCACCTCAAACTTAATGTTTAAAAACAAAATTATCTTTCCCTAGCCTATGTCTT